CCAACCAAAAGTTTATCGAAGTTAAAAGATAAGTATATTATTATGTGTATTTAAAACAGAATCAAGATGCGACTTAGAAACTGGAGGAGGATCTAGGCTAGGCCTACTTACTCCTCTTCTTTTGGCAGGTCCAATGCGATTTGTCAAGCGCTTAGGTGTATTATCCGCGCAGCAGATAACCAATTTATTTGGGCCTAGCTTAGAAGATTGCTCAGTCAGTGTCAGTAGGCTACTGGATAACATGACAACGACGTCTGTTTCCTATGTAGGCTATCTGCTAATTTGTCATCTGCTATTACTGTATTTTAAACAGACCATAAAAATGATATAAATATTATTTAATAAATGCTATTATTACCCCTACTAAGGCCTAGTAGTACTACTAGCCGAGTCCTATTAGGCCAACTACAACGCTCTAAACCAAGGCCATGCTATATCTTAGTATTTAACCCAACGATTTTGGTGAAATGTTTTAAACGTAATTTTGAAGTAGGCCTATGTGGAAAGATGATATTCAAGAATGGCCGAGACTGAATTTCAAAGGCAAGAATTTGACTTGAAAAAGTGGACCTCCCTATATGTCAACATGCATCTTCTTGATTTTGTATTTATTATCACACTACAGTATTTTGGGCATCTGTATAATAACTGAATGTTAATGATAAACATTTTTTTTTTCCAGTTATGTCAACTATTTCATTAATACACCAGCTTGTGATGAACAACCAAATGCAAACTATCAAAGCACAGTGGAAGACCAAAATTACCCGAGTTCTGGATGGATTTGCATGATTGAGTATACGTTTGATGGAAGTACAATCTAAAAGGCAGTGTACACTGCTCACAGGCTATTAGCAACTATCATGCAATGTTAAAATAACTGTTAAACACACAACAATTACTGGATAAAATTTGATTGTATTGCCTCTGAAATCCACTCTTAAGGTAAATGCTGTAGCCATTTTTCAAGACTATCCTTTAATATATGAACTGCATATGTATATCAGTACGCACACTGATACTCATCACAGCTCTTCGCTATTCAATAAAGATGGACAAATTAATTGTTTTTGATGAAGTTTAAGTAGGCCTTTCCTACTGTACATGGTAGATATGTTAACAGAATTAGTGTAAATGTATTGTGAACATTATTATTATTTCAGCATTGTTAAAATATTGATGCATATCACGTGAATAAAAAGGCAAACTGATCAATTTGCAAGTCTTGGTTCCCCTTTAATTATTTGCATTGATTTGTATAAGGACAGATGATGTTATTCATCAATAGTGATGATGAAATTGTTGTGTAATGTTAGACAGTGTCCCAATTTGGTTATCATTTGTGTATGATATTAACATACTTTTAAAATTAATACTGTATTAAATTAAGTGAATTAGTTGAGCGTGATCTGCTGTAACATCACTTAGCAGAGAAACATTTAAGTCTAAAAGTTTAACCAATATTAAGCTACTATCAGTAAACACGTTATATCGTCATTGCGGACTTATAAAATCCGCATACGCCTTAAAACTAAAAGAAAATGCATACATTTAGAGTCCGCACTGAGCCCAAAAAATCCGCAATGAAAATATAACGTGTTAGTATTTACCATACTGTAAATGATGTTTTACAGAATATCACCAGTACAACAATTATTACAAATTACAGTCAACCAAATGGATATCGACAGCAATGAAAAGACACTTTATTAACATTGTTTTACTATAGGAACATCATTTATATTGCTTTATACACCTGGATAGAGAGAGAGAGATACAAGCCAAGATCTAGTGTCTTGTACAAGGACACATGCTGTGTACATTGTCAACATTTTGATAAGTTGATGTAATATTTTCATTCATATCATGGGCTGCAATTTCAGGACTGGCATCAGTCTGTGTAGATTTGCAGCAAAGCTTATAAACACAATCCTAAGTATGATTAGTGACAATAGGATCATAACACTTAACACAGGCATCTTTTTGTTTTACAGTTCAATATTCTGTTCCAAATATAAACATAGTTGGTAGAAGTTTCTGGGTGATCTTTCATTTAACCAACTGCATTTATAACTCTCCTTTTAGGGACCAGGTCTGCCAGGGTATAATGGTTTCTGTAAATAATAAATAGACAATAATTATTTCTTGATAGCCACATTATACTAATGTCCTTGTAAATTATTAGCACTCTACAGTATTTTTTGAAGAACATCCCATTAGAGTAACTAAACCACAATAATCTGGTAGTGTATTGTGTCTGCTTTCAGTAGGTCATGCATACTGTACAACATTTGGATACATATATTATTTTAACAAAAAACTATCTACAGTAACTAGGAAACAGAGAGCAACTTTTAAACAGAAAATTATTGAGATTGAGTTAAAATGTTTGGTTATTAGAATTAACATATTCACAGCACATAGTCAAACAGGCAAAATAAGCTTTTGATATTTAACTTACATTATCATATCCCATGCTGATGAGGTCACTATTGATGACTGGGCTCTGTCAATGAAATAAAGTAGAACAAAGCTGTAAAACAAACCATAATTTAACATTTAGAATTATTACTTAATAAAATAGTACTGTAATTATAATCATCATTTCTCCTCATACAAAAACTATTTATTCCATCAAATGGTTCAGAAAAATTGTTAAATTTTAAATTACAGTTTGAGAATACAAAAGGGGATAATAGAGGGCCACCACTGGTATACACCAGCCTTTTGCACCACTTTTTTTTAGGGTGGTGTTCAGTGAGAAATTCAATCAATCAAGTGCCTAGGGCTAGAGTAGGTAGGCCCTCTCTGGCGTCATGCTATTCTCTCTAGGGCCGTGTAAATTTGTTATCTGCTACGCTGTCGTTGGCCCTCTTTCTTGTTAATGTTACAGTAGTGTTATCCGATTAGCTAGCCTAGGCTAGATACCTAGCTACTTTAGACGGCCTAGGCCTCGTAAGTAGTCTGGGACCCGGTGTACCCTACCCTACAGGCTAGCTAGGCCTAACGTAACATATACAGTATACGATCTATCGAGGCCCCTAATTCCTATCGTTATTAATATTCTGTCTTAAATACACGAAATATACTTATCTTGGATTGTGATAAAATATAGGTTGAAGACTGACGACATTATGCAGCTGCTACTGTCGAAAAAAACCCTGTCGTTATCATCAACTACTGCATTGGAAACTAAACTCCGCATTGCATCTCTGAACTTTGCGGTTCCCCCAACTTCGCACATATGCCACCCCAGTAATGGCGCCGACAATAGAGGGCGACACTCAAAAATGCTCTCTTGGATAGGTCTATACTCCGTGCCCAACGTACAGGGCGCCCTTCTGTTGCTAAGTATATCCAGACGCAAAAGGCGCCCTTCCTTTTCCACTAATGGAGGAAAACTTTTTCACTAAGAGTGCGTCCGGCCATGCGAATGCGATTCTGCCCTCTGTATTGTTGTTTTATTCTTTACTGATTCATGATTATGCTTTAATTGTTTTGTGTATTATTTGGATAATAGCAACGATTTCTACCGCCACCAAGGAGGTTATGTATTCACCGATGTCACTGTCTGGGTGCCTTTCCAGTTTGTTTTTATATCTAGTATCAAAGAGTATAAATAGAACAAGAGAGCAAAGTCCCGTTCGTAAAAACGTCATGCCTGTGTAGGACGCCCACTAACGGTTGTATATTCTTTTTATTACCCAGTGCAGCGCTGCGCAGCGCCAGAGCCGTAGATAGAGAGAGTTTGGCCAACTTGGCGCATGGGCGCCATGTTGTCACCAAACAGCGTGCGCGCGTATAGCCAAAGATACTAGAAATACAAGATAGAGTTCTCGCGTTGTAAAAATGAGGCGGAAGTCGTGCCCAACGTAGGTGGCGCCCTTCTTTTTAACCATGCAAGTTTCCTATTCTTCGTGCCCAACGTACAGGGCGCCCTTCTGTTGCTAAGTATATCCAGACGCAAAAGGCGCCCTTCCTTTTCCACTAATGGAGGAAAACTTTTTCACTAAGAGTGCGTCCGTCCGGCCATGCGATTCTGCGCTGTATTGTTTCTTTAATTGTTTTGTGTATTATTTGGATAATAGCAACGATTTCTACCGCCACCAAGGAGGCTATGTATTCACCGATGTCACTGTCTGGGTGTCTATTCCAGTTTGTTTTTATATCTAACTAGTATCTTTGTTGAGAATTGATAATAAAATACGAGACGACTTGGTAACGAAAGTTTGGCACAAGTTTTTTTAGATCCAGCTGTAGGGGGCGTCCCATTTTTCGTATTCCCACCATGCATTTCGGTGTAACACGGTGGAACACTTTTTTTGTGTGGAGAATTCTATCTTGTATTTCTAGTATCTTTGGTATAGCTTTATAACATTTTATAAAACACTGATGCTGCATAAACTTTCTTTCATTATTCTGTTCAAGAGAACAATTCAATTATTTGATTTTAACATATCATTGTAAATATCATATACTGTATAATCATATTTACCTAACTTTGGAATTAATTAATCAGTGACGTGCTGTATTATTTCGAGAAGATAAAGTGAGGACGATTCTTTATTTTTTTTCCCGTTACGATTATCTTTTTGTTTTGAAAGTCTATCATCTAGGCCTATACCTAGTTGCTAGCAGCAGCCTACTCTATATAGCATGAGGCTCCTGAGAGTCAACACTGCAGAGGAGAAAGGTTGGTTGTGCAGACAGAGTAGGTTTGTGAATCGTCGGCGATTTAAATATGTTAATTTCGCCTGTAAATGAATGATAAAAATATTAATAACATGAAAGTTTTCTAATTGTATCTAGGCCTCTATGACTTCGTATCTTTGTTGAGAATTGATAATAAAATACGCGACGACTTGGTAACGAAAGTTTGGCACAAGTTTTTTTAGATCCAGCTGTAGGGGGCGTCCTATTTTTCGTATTCCCACCATGCATTTCGGTGGAACCCTTTTTTTGTGTGGAGAACTCTATCTTGTATTTCTAGTATCTTTGATGCACATTTAGGCGCTGCAAGTCGGAAATCAACTAGGCGACAAGCCAATACTAATAGGACTTTTTCACGAATCGGTAGCATAGCACTTTCGTGTTGTTACTGTTCCAGGTACCGATAATATACACATTTCTCGGCGTTTATTATAAAGTACAAGTTATGTTTTATAAAGAAGTATAGTATAGTAAATCGTGTTTTTAACACAGGAAACTCATATGGTAGGATTATGACCGGTTGAGCCGCGGTCATTTCTATGGAACGCCAAGCGCGTCTCAGTGAATGTAGTGCGTTAATTGCGGCGTATTTCAACTTATTCTCTCTTGGTACTGTTGTTTGGGATGTATTTCAGTATATTTACTCAATTATTTCAATTTATTTCATACTTGGTTTTTGCACTGATTTATTAAATATTTTTGGGACGTATTTCAATTTATTTACTTGTTCTTTCTATCGTTTTAATTTAAATTTTGTGAGTGTTTGCTCAGTCAGCTTGCCAGATAGTAAAAAAAAAACTCCATACATTCTTATCATTTATTATATATAATGATATATAATAAATATAATTTAAATAATTTACCAAAATAGTACAATTTTGCAATTATACAACTTCATATATTTTTATAAAAATGGAGTAAATAAAATAATAAAAATTCTAATTTTCAATTACGACTGACAAGACTGTGGGATGAATATTTAACTGGTATCCAAAGGGGTTCATTCACTGATTACATCGGCAAGCCGACTACATTCACTGAGAGACGCGCTTGGCGTTCCATAGAAATTACCGGCGGCTCAACTTGTCGGCTCAACCGGTCATATCTCATATACTAACAATACATTAATACAAATATAATGCAAAATAAATACTCATTTTGTTTTAATGTAGAATAAGTTCATCTCTGTTCGTGTGGTAGTACAATGTCAACACATTACTTGCCAAGACACGACAGATATAACGGCCAACCAAACAAAAACAACAAACATCGATTTTTAATGGAATTTGGACAATATTATTGTTCTAAAATTTGGTTTCTATTAATTACTAAACAGTTCTACTCTCATGTGGTAATATTTTTATAATTTTTTAGGGGCGCCAGGGTAGCCGATCATTTCGGTCGCGCTTCGTTTCGGTCGCGCTTTGTTTCGGTCGCGCTTCGTTTCGGTCGCAGTTTATTTCGAACAAATATAGGCCCTATATATTTTAGTTCGTGAATCGGTTTATCATAGGCCTAAGTATTATCGTTTTGCTATCTTCCCACTAACAAAATATCTTTCTGCTATATTCTCTTTTTTTCCATTTACAGTGATATATTCATGATTGCAACATGATCTTGTAATTGAAACAATGGAATTTAGTATGTGCTTCATGCTATTCTTTTTGTTGCGATTTCATATACTGTACTTTAATAAATGGTCAATAAAATGTATCTTTGATTTTAATTGAATTGAATATTGTTACCATCTGAAATCTCTTTCATAATTTAGTTAAAACAATAATCATTCAATATTTAAACTGATCATTTTATACGATAAATATATTTATTTTTCTCTTGCAGCTTCCAGTGTTTGGATAAAAAATACCAAGAGAATTGAAGGAAACACAAAGAAATAAA